GTATGGTTCTATATTCCAGAGACAGAAATGTTTCCAAGAGACATTGGCTGAAAAGATAGAAATGTTTGTAACACTTATGCTTTCTGTTAAATACTGACCACTCACTAATTATCAAATGATATCTTCTTTTAAAAATCTGCATCTTGTATCTGGTTGTGTCTTTCAGAATGGAAACTGGAGAACTGGAAGAGGCTCGATGTCAACCAGGTAGCCATCTTCATGCTAATCTCGTTCTAATTCTATCTTCTAATGAGAAGGTTAGACAGAGACCACTGAGAAAATAGTTGGTATGCAAATAATAGCGTTGATGACTATTCCACAACATATCAAAATGTAGGCTGTGATAGTTAGGTTTATTGTGCCAACCAGGCCAATAGGAACATGTGGGATTAATTAGGTCACAATTTGATTGGAGGGCAAAGAGATACATGGCCTGGCAAGGTCTGTCCCCACTCTCTTTTGCTCTCTGGTGATTGGAGCAAGTGTGCTGGAGCGTGCTTCTGCTTTAGCTAGTTCTCTGCCTCAAACTGTGAGATACACTACCTGTGCGCCGAGCCAACCCATGGATTGTGTCGCTCGAGCTTGAGGCTCCTTTGAGACCTGCTTCACCACGCTGCTGGTGTGTGCAGCACTTGAGCTTGAGGCTGGTGGATCCTGTCGCCTTGTATTGCTTGTGTTCGATATCCCACCCAGGCCTGCTTTGCTAAGATCCCGAGCTACTGACTGTTGGTGACCCACCCTGCTGTTTGCTGCCTGTGGGCAGACTTTGCTTGCCTTTCCTTGCCTGATGGAGGATTTCACTATCTGCTTCCTTGACCTTGGACCTGGTAGCCCACATGAGTTGAGGACTTCCAGTATATTAACTGTTCCACGGAAGTGAGTTGAACTGAGCCCTCTGAACTGCTGTGTGGACTAATTAGCTATTATATTCTTTCTCACTGTATAAATATGTTTATAAGTTTCCTGGTTTTGTTTTTCAAGAGAACCCTGCCTAACATACAGGCCACGCCATTTTTTCTTGGCATAATAAAATTGCTTCAAGTGGAAAGTAAAAGCAGTAGACTCATTCCAATGACTTTGGGATAATGGAAGGGCTGTTATGTAAATAAAATTAGTATGTCTGCTAGATGAAGGGGGAGCCCGGGTGTAGTGGTTGTGCTATGGACTGCGAGTACAGCATCAGCATTCTGAAACCACCACCTGCTCTGTGGAAGAAGGCTGGGGCTATCTACTCTGGTAAACAATTACAGTCTTAGAAACCCATGGGACAGGGGGGCGGGGAGCATTATGGGGGTGGTGGTTAGATGAAGGGGCTTCAGGAAAGTCATGGGAAAATCGAATAGAATTTTTCCATTTACTTTTTGAAGCCTTTTTGTATTTACTTCTGTGACTATTTCTTGATCATGGCTTTCATCCCCGTAGCATGTAGCCTCTGTTATGGCTTTCATCCCCGTAGCATGTAGCCTCTGCCCTTTTAATGACAGTTTTCTGTACCTTCACATCCACCTTGTGAATGCACTGGGAAATAAGAGACTATAGACTATTCAGCTAGAAACCTTCTAATAGAGAAAAATGCGTGGTCAGCCCAAGGGAGTTAGGCTAGGATTCGTACCTGAGAACAGGAAGTCTGGGATTGGCACTGTTGAAGAGATGCTATGTGTATAGCTGTCCGTGGTATTTGCAGAAGAGGAGGCCTCGTTGGGATGTGATCCCAGTTTGCCTTTCCAGGCCACCTCACTAGCTAGTGTTCCTTTCTGTGATGGGCCATTCTAGGGCTGGGCTTTCACTTTTAAGCCTCCCGTTACCTAAACTGGACTTTTCTCAGAATAACAAGAATAGATTCATTCTAAAGTTGATTGTGGAGATGATTGTACAATTTTTATTCATCTGCACTATTGAATTGTGTGATATGTAAAATATATGCCAATAAAACTGTTTAATAAAAACACCTGAAAGAGGAAAAAAGAAAGCCCCAAAGAAGAACCCACCATGATATCTTACACTGAAAGAACTCAAGCCTAGAGTAGTTGAACTCTTGAAAGTGTTGATTTCAAAAAGAAAAAGAAAGGAACAGAGTCACCTCCCAGGATGGAGCCCCAAGTGTATGAAACTGTATACTTCAAAACAAAACCCACTGCCATAGAGTTGATGTGGACTGATAGCGACCCTTTAGGACAGGGTAGAACTGCCCCGGTGAGTTTCCAAGACTGTCACTCTTTACAGGAGTAAAAAGTCCTGCCTTTCGCCTGCAGGGTGACTGGTGGTTTTGAACTGCTGTACCTTGGGAATCGCAGCCCAACATATAACCACTATGCCAGAAAACCAATCGAATTTATTAATCTATAATAAGAGATCACTGCGCAAGGTCACGAAGAACTAAAGTCCTCATCACAAGAACAATTCACTCAGGACAGGTCGTAATCAGAAAATTATTTACTGGACATGGATTCAGGTGTTGCTCACCGAAGACTCCCAAGTCTGCTGGCTAATACTTCCACGTTCAGACCTGCACTAGGTGATGAGAATTTCTTATTCCTTCCCTTGACCAATATGATCATGTGTCTGCAGTGTGGACATGTCTGTGTAAGTGATATTCTGTGAGTAAAAGCAGACCCAGTCCATGCTGGGGAGCTTATATTTTAAGCGTGAAACAGACACTAATCCAGCAATCATAAGGTTACCAACCACATGATTGCTGTGATAAGTAACACAGAAGAAGCCTAGGAAGTGGTCCACCCAAGTAATAACAATGAAAACATTGGACTAATCACCATTTATTGCAAGTTCATTATGTGCCCACGATATCTCACTTAAGACTGCCATAACTCTGGAGAAACCATTTGTTTTTTAACTGACAAGAAAATTGAGGCATTGGCGAGGGAAATAACTGCCTAGGATCTCACAGATGATAAGAAAGGATCTGAAAATGGGCATTCTGTCCTCGAAGCCCTTTACCAACACCCAAAATGAGAAGGATTAATATAAAATAGTCCATTAAGTTGGTGAAAATGGAGATTGTTTGCTCTCGGAAAGTATCATCTACGGAATGATAAGGGATCATAATAGGTTTATAGTGGGATGAGTGGTCGGGACATGAAGACATGCAGTCAGAAAGAAAGGCAAAACCACTCTGCAGAGAACTTGGACTGTGAAAGGGAGATGTCTAATGCGATACTTGATTACGCTTGTTGTTGTAGTTGTTGGCTAAGGAAGCCTTTCTCTTCTGTGTAGTCATGCTTCCCTTCTGGTCCAATCTCCTCCTGACCAGCATCGTCTTTCACATGCATGCAGTTTCTCCTGCTGAAGTCTGTGGTTGCCATTTGCTTTCAGTCTAGTGAAGGCATTCTTTGGTGTAATACTGCCAACAAAATAAAACATAAACAAAAACCCATTCCATAAAAGGAACCAGTTCTTATCTACGAGGACAAGTACACTTGTTCTTGTTGTTACATGATCTTTTACATTTGGGACTCCTGTCTCTTTCAAAATGACTTTTTCTAAGTTTATGTACCTTTAACATAACACAGTTTTAGACATCTAGTGTGTATTAAATGTTTTGAAGGAGATTGATTATAACAAGTGTTATGGTCATGTCCCAAATAGAGTTGGGCTAATTACATTCACTTATCTATCTGATTAGGTTACAGAGACCAGGATGTTATGCAGAAATAACAGTGTTCTGTGAAAATGGAGGATGACCACATCACATCCCAAAATGGAAGTTGACTCTCATTACAGAATAGCTACCTTTCATTTCTGAACTGTCACACATCTGAGAATCATGACCCAGCCAAGTTGACACATGGCCTTTAACTATTATAACCCATTACTCATTCTCATGCCTCAACATTCATTACTGTCAGATGTACAAGTAATGCATAAAATAGTGGGATAGTAGATTTTTTAACTATTGTCGTGGAAATGTGAAATGTCAGGTAACAAGATGGTTGATAAGTGAGGGGGCATGTATTCAGTTCCCTTATTGAAGTCTCTTAGTATTGAACTTTTTCTGTTTGTAGATTGACATCACACCATTGATGGCTTCTTTGATCGGAGTTCCTTTCCCCATCAATTCAGTGGTAAGGAAAACCATTTTATTTATGTATTTACTTTTAATCATTTTCTTGGGGGCTCATA